GAAAACGTTATTTTCATCATTTCTGGTCCTTCCTCACCTAAGTTTACCTTTTCTTTTTCTGTAACTCAGCAACCTTCCCATTATCCAAGCACCTGGCAGAGCTACCGCTGTTAAATTTCTGACAGCTTTTTCATTATAGGCCCTGATTTTCAAGAGGCAGGTTAACTAAGCAATTTTGATTTGTGCCAAGCTGAGATGTGGAATAGACACTTGAAGTCCATTCTCTTGTTTTCCTAAGATTTCATTTGAACTTATTTGTTCTGCTTTGATACAGAAAAAAAAAATACAAAGAAAACCTTGAATAGTTCACTTTCTCATTCATAAATCAGTACAACCAAATGCATAAATAGTGAATCTATAATGTTTTTAACCAAAAGTTTTTAAAACTAATAAAAATTGATTCAAAAATTCCTTTAAAGGTTTATTTTTTATTTGAAATGCAAATTTTACAGAAAAAGAAGGAAAGGCAGAGAGTAAGTCTTCCTTCTTCTGGTTCTCTCCCCCAAAGCCTGCAACAGCCAGAGCTGAGCTGATCTGAAGCTGAAAGCAAGGAGGTTCTTCTTGGTCTCCCCAGTGGGTGCAATGCCCCATGACTTTGAGCCTTTCTCTGCTGCTTTCTCAGGCATAAATAGAGAACAGGAATGAACGTGGAACAGCTGGAACATGAACTGGTCCTCATATGACATGCCTGCACCACAAAGTGAAGAATTGTCTTGCTGTACCACTAATTCAGTCTCTCACTCTCCCAGGAGTCCACATTCAGTTATCATACTACAGTCAGACCTGATGTTTCCACTTAGTTTAGCCCATGTCACACACTATTGTATCTTGTCCAACACCTATCCAGTCACCAGATGAGTATCATTTTCTCAATATTTCTTTTCTTTGATATTGACTACATATGCTCATGTTTGAAATTTGCCTAACTTGGATTTCGTAACTCTAATTTGTGTTCTCTTGTGTATATTTGCTACTAATCTCCATTGCTTACATTTAAATCATTTTTGTGATAATTTACATACATTTATATTTTATTCATTTCTGAAATTGCAGAAAGAAATAACCATGGCATAAACTACGGGATAATCATTGACTATTAAGAAATTGAATGGTTGGTTGATGACCACTATGGGATATAAAGGATATAAATTCTTTCAGTGTTTCTGCTTTGTTACTCTCTATTTGTTAACAATGTCTTCTTTCCTAATCATAAGATGGTTGGTCATCTTTCTCTATGAGGAAAGATGCAATACCCTCTTTTCCTTTGATTAAAAGGAAAAACTTTTTTTCCCAGAAATCTACTTTTTAAATTACATAGACTTAAATTAAATAGACTATAGCCTTGCACCCTCTCTGACACCATTTAATGAAAAGGAAAAATAATGGACTAAGTTGATTTAGACCAATTGCTATTTGTCCTGTAGTAGTCAGAACATTGGCTTCCAAATATGGTCAGCCTCGTGGTAGCAAAGAAGACAAGATGAGGAGAACATGAGTAACAGAGCCGTCTTCACTTGCATGTCCACTACGGCTGCTCCTAAAGATTTTAGCCTTTTTCTCTACAAGTCAAGATCTCAGAAACTCCATGCATATCTTGCCCAAAATGGGTTGCTGGGGGAAAACACTCAAAAACAGCAGAGATGTGAAAGTGCTACTTCTATAAGCAAGAGTGTTTCTGTCTGAATACACGTATCCCCCCAATGAGACATAGTCACAATCTAGTAACTTTTGTGAGTTGCATCAAGCCCTGAATCATGCTACTCCTTTCTTCCAAATCTATCTCCTCACCCTCAGCATGCTGTTCTGAGTCTTAACACCTGCAGCTTCAGTATTTTATTTATCTCCTACTTACCTTCTTGCTTCCATTTGTGTGATTCTTGTGGGATGCTTTTCAATATTCCAAATTCTACAAAACCAAATGTAAACAGTATAGCTGCAACTCAAGACCTTTATGTGACATTTCTTCTAAAACCAATTGCTGCATGAGGATTCTTCCTTATAGTGAGGCCTTATCCAGAAACTTCTGTGACAGTCCACACTTGTTGCAATACATTGTCTAGACTCTCGCTCTCAGCCTTGTCTGGACTTTGTCTCCTCCACCACTTCAAATGTGACTGTGCTACCCAAGAAGTGGACAGAGCCAGAGTAAAGCAGGTTACCTAATTGTTTGGTCATACTAAAGTTCACACACCTACCCTAAACGATTTTAATCTCCTCATGGGCTTAAACAAACTGCTTATATTTCATTAAATTAGTGGTTATTTACATAGCCTGGTATTGCCACAAATCCTGAGGTCATATTATAACTGCAGGGACTATGTGTAATAAAGTGTTGCTCTGTGACTGTATTGGATGCACATTAAATATGTAAGGTTTAGTCACTTTTCAAGTAATTATGCATCTGCTCTCCCCACCTCCAAATATCCTCTTTAATGAATCATCTGCTCCACTGCGAGGTGATGGTGAATTGCAATGTGTTCTGGCATGGGGTAGTAGATTATGTGGGTGCTTACTTCTTTCATCTGGAGTGTGCATACCTCTCGCTTTGATAGAAACTATTGTAGGAATCAGTTTTTTGTTAGATTTATTTATCTTTATTGGAAAGGCAGATATACAGAGAGGAGGAGAGACAGAGAGGAAGATCTTCTGTCCAATGATTTGCTCCCCAAGTGACTGCAAGGGCTGAAACTGAGCCAATCCAGAACCAGGATTTGGGGTCTGCCACATGGGTGCAGGGTCCCAAAGCTTTGGGCCATCCTCAACTGCCTTCCCAGGCCACAAACAGGGAGCTGGATGGGAAGTGGAGCAGCAAGGATTAGAACCAGGACCCATATGGGATCCCAGCAGGTTCAAGGTGAGGGCTTTAACCACCACTACTACTATCACACCAGGCCCTGTAGGAATCATTTTGAAGGTCTTGCTATCGCAATGAAACAGGTTAACCACAGCCATTCCTGACATGACTGACCTTGCCTTTAAAAGATGTAAGAGTATTGATCCGAAGCCAGGAGCCTCTGCAGGGTCCCAAAGTCTGAGCCATCCTCGACTGCTTTCCCGGGCCACAGGCAGGGAGCTGGAAGGGAAGTGGGGCTGCTGGGATTAGAACAGGCGCCCATGTGGGATCCCAGGCGTGCAAGGCGAGGACGTTAACCACTGCGCCACCGTTGCGCTCACTTGGGGAGTGAATCATTGGACGGAAGACCTTCCTCTCTGTCCCTCCTCTCTGTATATCTGCCTTTCCGATAAAAATAAAATAAATCTTTAAAAAAAAAAGATGTAAGAGTGTATTTTTGTTATCTCAATCATGGCTGTAAGGAATCAATGTTTCAAGTAAGATCTCCAATGAGAAGAAGCATCATGAAGCCAAATGTCATGCTAAAACTGTGAGGGAAAAAATGAGAATTTTATTTATAGAAAGATATGGTTGCATCTCCAATTTTGCTTTGAATCATGACACTGGAAGACAAAAAAACTAAACAAGACAGCATTTTTGGAGCTTCATTGAGAAAGGATGGCTATACTTGGAAGTTTCTGGAGAGCAGAAGGGGATGAATGGCTAAAGAGGAAGAAAAGATCCCCAATGTGTCGCCATGATGGCGAAGGGGCCTGTGATGACCGTGACAGGCAGAGCATTTCAAATGTCATGAACCATTCTGGTCATTAAGAGCATTAGCAGGAAAGTGTAGGTTAACAGGTGGGATGGGTCCATGAAATTCTGCATTATCCCACAGTAATTTCCAAATGCCATCTTAACTTTAATCCACTGGCACGCCAGTCCGTAAGCATTGTTAGTATTAAATTTGGCCTGATTTCAAATAAGCTACTTTAGTAACTTCAGGTTTCAACACACATTCTGCTGCCCCTTGCAGGCATTCCAGTGTGTCCGTCAGCATTCGCAAGTGACTGAAAATCAGCCGGGCCGAAACTTTCACTTTCACCCTCTGTCAAAGAATTTTAGTATAAACAAGAAGACGGGAAGAAAAGAATTGAATAATTTCCCTGCTTTAATTTTTTTTCTTTTAATTTGAAAGAAGCTGTTGAATCTAATGTGGCCAGCATCAAATGTGAAAGCTACCTTCTCTTCAGTAGCTCCCCCTGTCTCATTGCTATGGTGTTCATCCTTCAGTTCGCTGTTCTTTCCCATCCTAAGCACCACAGTATAGGAGCCGCAAGTTTGGAGTATTCCAGGGAGAAAGGTGAGGGGACAGGAGGAAGGGAGGATTGTTGAATGGAGAGAATACAACTAGCAGAACTGAGAAACAGATCAAGCCAAGCGAAAGTTGTATGACTAATTAGAGCGATGGTTGTGCTCCGCTGTCCAAGGCCGCGGGTCTCTCTGGATTTCTACTTTGGCTCTGTGTAGCGAGGGTCCAGAGCATTCATTGGAATTTCACCGCCCTTAAGCGTCACAAAAATGGAGAGTAACAACCTACGTTAATGATGCTTCAATACTTTGTCTTCCTAGATTGCAGACTTTAGCACTAAAGGTGGCATTAGGGGTCCAGGATGAAGGCTGAAAAGTGAATCAGAAAACTGGAACTTTTACTCCAACCCGCGCACTCCCCCTCCCCAGGGTAGAGAGAAAATCCAGTCCAGGTTTTGTCTCCGACTCAGCCTCTGAATTTCGGCTGTGCAATGTGTAGCACGTTTCTCTCTCTCTCCCCTCCTTTCTCCTTCCTTTCGCCTCCCGCGTCTGTCTCCAGGATTTCTCTCTTCCTATTTCAGAAGGACTCTCACAGGCTCCCTCAGTCTGCGCAAGGCGGAGGTTTCCCTTGGATCCCCAACACATACCTCCACGCACAGACCTCCCGAGCCCCCGCGCTCGCACCAACACGCGCGCCTGCCTATGCGCCTCCTCCTGGAGGGCCGACGTGCCTTCCCACCTTCAGTGCACACTCCAGCCAGCCCTGCTCCCAGCACTCCCCGATTCTGCGGCTTGGAACTCGGATCTCAGCTCTGAACCCCTGTGGTTGTTTTTGGTTTTGTTTTGCTTTTTTTTTTTTTTTTTCTTTTCCCTTCCCCTCTCTCCTCGTGTTTTATTACACCGATTCTGGTTTGGGGGGCTAGCGAAGCAAGGCGGCTACTTCCTCAGCCAGTCCTGGTTGGCTTGCCATTTTCCATCTGGCTTATAAAAGTTTGCTGAGCACAGTCCAGAGGGCTGCGCTGCTCGTCCCCTCGGCTGGCGGAAGGGGGTGACGCTGGGCAGCGGAGAGCAGCGTGCCGCTGGCTCTGGCGGACTTTCGGTTCCAGGGGCAAGGTGAAGAGCGCGCACGGGCCCGGGGTTGACGGAGCTGGATTTGCATGTTGCACCATGCCTTCTTGCATCGGGGCTGCGATCCTTCCTCTCTCTGGGCTGCTGCTATCCCTCACGGCCGGGGCAGACTTGAAGGCTCGGAGCTGCGGCGAGGTCCGCCAGGCGTACGGTGCCAAGGGATTCAGCCTGGCGGACATCCCCTACCAGGAGATCGCAGGTAAGTGCGGTTGGAGCGGGCTGCAGCCCCGGGCAGCCACAAGTCCCTCCAGGGCCCTCCCCCTTCCCCCCTGTTGCTGAGTTGGTGCTCACTTTCTGCTAGGGCTCTCTGGGGACATCGCATCTCCCCGCTAGGCAGTGGATGCTCTTGAGGCTTCTCCAGCGGCAGGAAGGTGTGCCTCCAAGCCGCTTCATTGTGTGCACACGCGGGAGCACCCTTGGTCCCTCCCCTCCGCCCCGTGCTCTCGCGCCGTTCGGCTTCTTGTATGTTATTCCAGGCCGGGGAGGCCAGGGTGGCTGCGGGGTGAAGGCAAGTCCCTAGCAGGGCACCCACCCTGTGCTTCTCGCCCCGGCAAACTTGGAAGAACTGCGACCGCAGTTTGCACAGTGCCACAGTCTGAGCGGCGCCTTGCCTGCTCCCGCCCTCGCGCCGGCAGGGGTGGCGGAGAGAAGCACAAGGCTTCCCCCAGCCCCGTCTGCACTCCGGCGTCCTTCGCCGAGGTGGAGTGCACCGCGCCGGGACTTTGGGGGGCGAGCTGAGTACGAGAAACCGCTCCAGGGACACTGCCCCCGGGTATCTTAGGGTTGCTTTACTTTGTGTGGGGGTGGAGGGAAGGTGAAGGCGGATGGTTTCCAAGCTGCTTGTTGCAGACTGGGGGCTTCCCTGTGGCGGTTGGTCACTGGTGCTGCTGGAGACAGCCTCAGCTGCCCGCGCAAGTCTGCAGGGCGGCCTCGCTGGCTCCGGAAGCTCAGCCAACTTCAGAGGATGTCTCCGCCGCCCTGGTTCCTTCAGGGGTCTCTGGCTTGCAGGGCCTCAGGCATTCCTCCGCTGAGTGCTGGAGCGGCCACCCCCTGCCCCCCAACCTTTTTCTCACGTCAGTGTGTGTTGCGCTGGGTTTCCAACTGGTACAAGGGAGCCTGCGTGCGTGTTTTCCGGTTCTTAGCTCCAACCGAAAATCCGAGCTGCTGTGGAGCTCTGTGAATGAAACGCCTTGGGCAGAGATAATCCTCTGGCTGCTAGAGAACAGAACTGTGAGAGGCCGGGGAGACCAGGAGATGCTTGTGTGCGCCGGCTGCTCAAACAGGGTGGATGAAGTCTTCCGTGACCTCGGGTCCACTGAGCAATGAGCTAAATTTCCATCAGCCTCGCTCTGCCTCGTGCCCAGGCTCTGGTCCCTCGTACGGAAAGCATTTTGTGGGATCTCTGAAACCAGCACAGTTCTGATACCTTGTGGAATCGCTACTTTTTTTTTTTTTTTCTTTACCGTGGTGAAGCTTCAAGTTCTAGGAATGAGGGTTTTTGCATACTCCGAAATGAACATGTTAGTATGAATTTGGATAGTGCCCCTAAGAGCGTGCACAACGCCGAGCCGGTAGCACTGCACACCATACTGAGCCCTTTCCATTCAGAGCCAGATTCCCTGTGAAGGAGAGGCAGAGCCTGCGGGTGAATTACAAGCCCACTTTTCTCTCTCTGTCACTTGGTCTCCCCAGCATGGAGCTCCTTAATTTGTTAATCAATGGATAGAGAGCCACTGCCCCAACTGCTCCTTAAGTTTCTCCACTCCCTCTCCCTGTTGTCTACTGTTATTTCATTCTTTTTAATTAATTGATAAGGATCAGCTTTTTTTTTTTTCTTTTCCCAAATCTCAGGGATTGAACTTTTAAAACGTTTGCCGTGTGACTCGGCTATCACAGGAACTTTTTCGCCTTCACTCGGGGCTTCTCTTCAGGGTATCTCAAAATGCAGACATTTCCTAACATGATTTTAGATATGTCTTGAAGAAGAAGAAAATAGTTAAGCATTTCGAAAATGGTTTGAGCCCTCTTTTGTGGGAGAATGGAGTTCATCTTTTGCAAATCCCCTTCAAATCAGAGTGAAGGCATTCCTTGGAAAGGATTTCTCTAGCCCCCCATTTGCTTTGTTGAGAAAATTCCCAGGAGTTAATGGAAAGGCTTCAGTCGATTTTTAACCACAGAAGGGATTTCAGAGGTGGCTTCCCCATCGCGCGCTCCTAGCCGTTTGCAATCAAAGTTCTTATTGCCTATGCATTCCTAAAACGTGTGCACCACCGCGGTTAAAGTCACCCACGTTCCAGGAAGGAAGGACCCGCTGTCTTTGCTGCTTTGGTGTTCTTTGAGGCACAGATCACCGTGGGGTCAGAGATACAGTGGACATGAAAATAATGCAGAGTTAATTCTGCTCTTGAGGAGTTTTTTTTCTTTTCTTTTTTTCAAAGTAGACTTACTGCTATGATAAATTGGATTTGCTGTTAGAGTAATCACTTGGGAAACATAGCCTGTTATTAAAGGAACACACACTTTCTCTCCTCCCTCATTCTCCATACAATTTACATTTAATTATACAGTGTAGGGAAGACTTTCTGTGGTAGTTATCCTCTCTTTAAACTCTTTCATCCTTTACTTTGTTTAGACATCTAATGACTTGCTTGAGAAATGGCATGTGCCGTTAGCCTGCCAAGGGAACATGAACTTCAGAAGAAATGCTGTTCAGATCTGTGCTAACTTTTTCTAGCTGAGAGATATTTGTAGGTCGCTGGCTTAGTAAAATAGCAGAAGTAATAAGGACATTATGTTTCCTCCTGACTTCATTAAACTTTTACTGAGGACTCACAATGGGCGAATAGCATTGCCCTCTTGTTAGATAAAGGCGAGGTCTTCAACCCCAGCAGATGCGAGACTGTGATAGGTGATATATTACGTGATGCTGCCAGGATGCTTGCAGGAGGGGAGACCTTCTAGGGGAGCTTGCGCCATCAATCCTCACTCAGCCCTGGTTTTAAACCATTGCCGGCAGATCAGATGGATGCTATCTGTCTTTGTTTGAAAGACCTCCGAAGTGGTAGACTCTTGAGACTTCTCTGCAATCCATTCTAATGCTTAGCGATTCTTGTGGTAGAGAAATAATTCCACGTATGGAGCCCATAGCTTTTGCAATATGCTTGGCCATTTCCTCTCGTTCTGGGAAAATTTAAAACAGTACATCATCCACTATTTAGACCAAAGGTCAGCGTGGAACATTCCAGTTCTTCCTCAAGTATTAGTAATACTGTTTGACTTCATGTTTTGGTCCTAGTCAGTTTAGTGGTTCTTACTTTTAGAGGAACTTTATGATTGGAAATAATACCTTAAAAGTCTGGGAAGTTCAGAGAATGTTGTTTTCTTTTTAAAAACTATAGTTAAAAGGTTAGAGAGAAAAAAAATGCTTTCACCTGTGAGACCAGGAAAGGGGATACAAGAGTAACCAAGGCATTCCCTTTTATGCTAATTAACTTCCCAAATGCCTACCACGGGTGAGGCTGGGCCAGGTCACGTGACCTAGGATCACAGCCCTGGCCTCTAGTAAGGTGATAGGAACTTAGTTACTTGGGTCAGTGTTGTTATTCTGCCAGCGTTTGCATAGGTAGGAGCTGATGTCAGGAACCGGGGCTGAAAACCAAAGGATGTTCCAGCAGCATGGCATCCAGCAGCATGGCGTCCAGCAGTGTGGCATCCAGCAGCATGGCGTTCAGCAGTGTGGCATCCAGCAGCATGGCGCTCTGCACATAGCGTTACGCTAAATGCTCACCTGGATGGTGTTGTCTTGGGCTTATTCTGCTGGTGTTCTAGGCATTGATCCTTATTGGATTTGCTAATCATAATATGTTCTAATTAACCATTGCTCAACCTGCACTACTGCCATTTTCATTGCTTATCTAAGAGAACTTTAGTATCTTGAACATATATGGTAGCATGTGGCTATCATGTAACTCTACACCTTACCTTTATGTCAGTGCCTGATCGAATCCTTCCAGTAATTTAGTGGACACTAACATCCTCCCTCATGTGAATGAAAATACTGCATGATAAATTTAATTTGAGTTGCTCAGTAGTGTCTCAGCTGGTGCAGAGGCTAAATGTCAAACCTAAATACACTGTCTCCAGAATCCATAGGCCTAACCTGCCCACTGCCTTGCAGAGGTAAGAATTCAGCGTTTGTCAGATAAATACATGCTAATCAATTCTTCATCTGCTGTGTGTACAGCTTACTAATCTCCATGTGCATGCATGTATCCTTTCACACAGGTACATGCTGACTCCTTCTCTATTTAAAGCATCTATTACTTCTCAAAACCTGATTGAAATGTGTATTTTATAGTCTCTAAATTGACCATGTATTTTTGTGTTTTCCTGACCATTGCATCGTGCAAATGGTCAGTTGTATGAGACATGGTAGCTGAAGTCCATGTTTTGTTTTCTCTCGCCATCTTAGGCCTGTGGATTATTGGTTTAGCACAACAAAGCTGCTTTATAAGAATTTGTTCATGGAGGAGAGAAGTGTGAGGGAGGAGTTAGCCTTCACAGATGAGGACAAAAATGACAACATCATTTTCAGTATTTGCCCATTTTCAGTTTTGGATATTTAGTGTTCACTTAAAGTTTTGCATCAAAGAAAAAAACTGTTCCCTAATGATCAAATATTTAGCTCGATCCATAGTAAAAGTATATTATTTTGTATTCCAAAACACTAGTCACTTTTATTCCTTCTTTATTGGCTTTGAGGTTCAAAATATATGATGCTTAACTTTCCTTGGCCTTGCCTCTGTTTAGAAATAGCCCCTCCACCCTAGTCCCTTATCCAACCAAGCAATTGAATACATTTGTCATTAATACCTACCTTTTTCGGTTTGCTCATAAATATCACATTGACAAAAATGGAGAAAACTGCCTGGTGACTCTAATGCTTTCACAGACTTATTAAGCATCCTAGATTGGGATAAATTGTTCCATTTAAACTTGTCTCTCTGATTCAAAGATTTATGATTTCATTGCCCTCTGCTAGCCCATACCTGCAAAAGCCTTCCAAAGAAGAGCATGATGTAAATGAATTAGCTAAACTTCAAATTTTTCTTTTAAATGATTCAGCAAGTCATAAATTTCTGAAGGAATCATTAATTCCAGGTATCAAAGTAATTTAAAACCTGGGCTATTCAGAGTGCC